ACTTAGTTGTATCAGACCATATGCCAAGGCAAAGTCATAAACAGATCTCCCCGCATGATCCGTTAAACGTGAACTGAGCCATTCGGCGTGGTGGGCGTTAAAATCGCCATGTATCACGATCTCTGCTGATGGGATCTGTTGTAGCAAGGAATCTGTAGCCATTTGGATGTGGTCGATGAGTTGCTCTGTGTCGGCATTACCGCTATGGGTCAAAAAGAGCAAGGCTGACTTCGCCGTCAGATGGTAGCGGACGGCGTTAAGGTTTGAATAATCTCTCAAACGGCAAGCGTCCAAAGGAGACAATTTATTTTTGTATGGAGAATGGGCTCACCACAAATTTTCGCGGCCCGCAATGATATGTATGTCGATTTATTCCTTATAATCTATAGATGACAATAGTAATATTAGTTTTACCACATCTAAACGGAAAACTGAGAAATTAACAATTAAAATATGAGTTTTAAAATGACCTAAAAATAAACTGAAAGCGATTTTATAGTAGTTTTTATCGGTATTCTAAGTTAAAATAGTGCACTGTTGAATAATAGTACATATAAAACCAAGTTGTAGGTACATTCAGCATTTACAGGTACTTCAAAACTTCGATATTCCGTCAAAATTCAAGAGGTTAAATGTGACCGCACCCACCCACAGCACTTTAACCCATCAATACTTATGTTTAGAGACTACTTTTCTATGAAGAAGTTTGGCATTATAGAATCAATATGAAATTTTCTATCCTGTAGTGGAATAAAAATTCAGTTAGTTTATGGATATTTATTTATAATCTACGTTCATTTCGCACGCCATTTTCGTGTGAATGCTATTGTGTTGATTTTTGAATTTTTCTAGTGTTTTAGTATAGTGTTTTATTATGAAATTGTAATGAAAGTTTTTGTGTGAATATAATTTGTCTTTTTAAGTAAATAAATTCGAGTAATATATATTGAAATAATTGTGATTTTCACGCTGCCGACATTTTCTTGGTATGTATATTTTTGTTATCAAAATACAATAAAATCTTTTTGTAATGAAGTAAAACCTTTTGTTTAGGCAACAGGATAGAGAATTTTGTATAGATTTTATAATGCCAAACTTCTTCATAGAAAAGTAGTCTCTAAATATAAGTTTTAATGGTTTAAAGTGCTGTGGGTGGTCGATCGCGTCGAGGGATATGCTGGACACATGCGACTGCATGGGGCTTTTATGGCGATTGAAGGGATAAAATCCCGCGATGATGTTGCGGTCGACGGCTACCGTGGTAGGGGCCGCCATGATTTTATCGCTGTTTCCCCAAGCAGTGTTAGTAGTAAGCTGGATTTTGCCTCTCCCCCGGAATACTGGGGCACCTTCGGGGGGCCTCCGGCAACCTATACTGACCAAGTGAAATGCAGAAACAAAGCTTCTACTTCACTCTGGCATTGTGTGAGGTCGTGGTACTTTTTTATATAGAAGAGGGGGCAAACGAGCAAACGGTTCACCTGATGTTAAGTGATTACCGCAGTCCATGAACAACCGCAACACCAGGGGAATTTCAGGTGCGTGGCCGGCCCTTTAGAAAGGAGTAAGCTTTTTATTCTTCTCTTGAAGGTCCCCAGGTCGTATCGGTCCGGAAAAATCGCCGGTGGTAAATTATTTCACAGAGAGGTCGTACGCGGAAGAAAACTCTTAGTGAAACGTACAGTGATGGACCGCCAAGCATCCAGATGGTGTGGATGGTATCGGGAGGTTTGTCGCGTAGTGCGTTCATGAAATTTGGCGGCTGGGATTAATCCGAACAATTCCTCAGAGCACTCCTCGTGATAGACGCGATAAAATACGCAAAGAGATACAACATCTCTTCGCAGCGCCAATGAATCGAGCCGATCGGAAAGCACTCGGTCTGACGATCTGGTCTACTGGGGAGCCCCAGCCCAGAGATGGGAACAGTATTCCATGTGCGGTCCAACCTGCGCCTTGTAACGTTGCAAGCGGTGTGCCGGCATGAAATACTGTCCCGCTTTGTTAAGCACGCCAAGCTTTTTAGAAGCCAATTTGGCCTTCCCTTCCAAGTGACCACGAAACTGCACGTCACTCGATATGTTGACGCTGAGGATTCCGATACTGGTTGAGGCAACAATAGATAGATAGAGATATGACAAAGGGGTTCTTTTTAGCGTTTAACGCGCAAACTTGTGTCTTCTGAGGGTTAAACTAGACTTGTGGCTGTCCAGGGAGAGGAGTGTTTAGTGTACTTCCCTGGTTTGAACCGGCCCATCCGTGCAACAGCCAAGGCTGCCGTGTGGCTCTACGGCACACATTAAGCCTTTGTTTCCCGCTGCGTACCAGTGTGAAACAAAGGCTTAACGTATGCTGTGTTTTGTATGGCGAGTGTAGAGAACCATTACCGCTACAACCTATTAAAAGTCGACTGCTGAACATAGGCCTCCCCCATAGATTGCCTCATACGGAGGATATTTGGCATAGTTGCCACATTTGGCAGGCGGTAATAAACCGGAGACCCTTTATTTACAGGTAACGAGGCATTCTATCAAAGTCCTTAGGGGTGATAAAATATAAACATTTTAATTGTTATTCGAGGATATATATATATATATATATATAAAAAAAAAAAAAAAAACACCACCACCCACAACTGTGTGCTCGCTTGTCACCTTCATTCTATAAAAAATATGCAAATAGCATTACCAGTGCGAGGACATCTACTCTGATTTCATCAATCCCTGACTACAAGCGCTGAGTATAAGCAAAACTTTTAAGAAATGCATGGCTACGGCCACATTTCAAGTCTTATGTCAATCAAGTGTTAAAAAAAAACAAAGAAATTTTATAAACTTGTGTATTTCACTTTCGCAACCAATACAATATAATATATAAATTCCATCATAACTTAACAAAATACTGATCTCACAAACAACCATAGACAACAAATAAATAACAGCCTTGTTTCACATCTGTTTCACCTATAAAACCAGTCATGTGAAAAACTACAGCTCAGCTCCACAAAAGTTAAAAAGAAAAAGGGAAAATATATGTATAGAAAACTATAAAAGCAACTATTAAACTATTGAATACATACAATACAATAAAATATATACTATTGAATGATAATTGTAACGGTTCAAAATGCATTAACAAAATGCACAATGAGTTAAAAAATGCATTGGTAATAAACTATTGTGACTCTGTTACGCTCACGATAAGAATGGGATCGTTCTGCTGACAACTTCACTCTCGGTTCTTTTATACTGGCAGCAAAATAAGTAAATTGAAATCTTTTCTTTTCAATAAATAATGTGGCCAATGTTAAATGGTTATTACACCAAATATATATATTTAAGTGATAAAAATATTAATCCACCATAAAGAAATTTAAACGATAGTAACTTATTCGTTAGAGGTACGTACTGCAAAACAGCGTCGTGGATTTCAAACATAGTTGGGAGTGTTTAACCATAATACTAGTTAAAACTAGTATAAGAAAATTATGATCACGAAACCCCCCGTTTTACATTACTTTTTCCTTATTTTAAGAAATATTTATCATAAAATTTACAACAATTGCAATGAAAATAAATATATATGAAGTTACTAATGATTTAAGAAGTTTTTGATTTTTGCGCACCCTACCACACAACATACTTGAAGATAGTGCGAAATGCGAAGTGAATCGTCAGTTTAACAGCCCTATTCTTATCGCGGGTGCATGATAAGTTACTTTGAGAAAACATATTATTAAAAATTACATTGCAAAAACTGTATAGTTTATTTTATCATCATCTTTTTAAATCCTAACTTTATATTTGTTCTTGAAAAAGTATTTAACCATTTATCCTATTTTAAAATCGGAAAATATTTGAAAGACACTGAACAAAAATGCATCTTACTTTAAAAATGTCAAGGTCATTCGAATGTGTCGAAATTTTGACGAGCTGAGACATCGTAACGCTGATCTGGACATTTTTAATTTTAATATTTCAATTTAGAAGATCTGTAATTGCTACGTTAAATATGTAAATTTAACGAATATCATAAAATAAGTTCTTTTTTTAATTGTCACTAGTACTATGTATTATTAGTTTATTTTTCTGTCATACTTGTCATATTTTGTTTTGCTGTGCACACTTTATTGGATTATAGACTAGTTATAATATTTTTGTTACTGTAAATGTGTTTTGTATTGTCTTCAATATGTTTGTGTGGCTTAAAAAAATGTATCAAATTTATATTTAAAAAGTTTAATGTAAACCTAAGATGCTAAGAGCATAGTATTATAGCCATAATAGGTAATGAATGTGACTTTAAATTTTATAGGTGAAATTTTTTTTTCTCTTTTTCGATCCAATGATAATAGCCAATAGGAATGTCATTTCCGTCAGTGCAGCGCCAAAACATATGAAGGCCTCTGTCACATACATAAATAGTAAAAATATTTTCTCAGAAATATGTTGTATAACATCATGATTCTCTATATAAAAGCCCGAAAATTGAGCTTCAAAATGTTCCAAAAACGATACAAGTTTTAATATAACGTGTCATAATTGACATTAAGTAAAAAAAGTAGATTATTCGCTTTACAAGATTTTACCATAGAAAAAATCAATTACAAAATACGAAAACCTGTATACTATTATTAATATTTCGACCTTTGAAACCATTGTTCAAATTGTTTTTGTCATATTTTTTGACGATGACTTTGGTCCCTTAACGCGGTATAAAATTCAACGGTTTATCGTCATCCCCGATTTTGTTTTACCGTTTCCACTTAGATTTACTTGCAAAAGCATTTAATACAAAAATCGCATCTTGTTCGAACTTAATTTCGCTAAAAAGCATTATTGTCATATTAAAGAGAAAAACCGAAATGGTTCTAAAAATATTTTGCAATTATTTTCAGTACTACTACACTAACTATACCAATAGCAGTATTTTAAACAGTTTTAATGTGGTTGAATCGATAGTATTTTGGTAAAACCTTGCAGCGGAACATTCATGCGTGTTTATTTGACATCAATGGTAGCGATGACTCCGGGCTCGGGGTTACCGGGTATGACGCTGTTGCTTTCATCAAGGATTTTTTTGTCCTGTCTTCGTTTGTCGTAGCTGAAAAGTTAAAACAGGGCGTAATATTTAAAATTCGTTTTAAAAACTAGTTAATCATAAGCTTAAACTAAGCACTACTGTTAATGTTATATTGCGCTAAAAACTAAGTAGATCGCTGAATCGAAGTTCGAATGTTAATGCAAGCAAGAAAAATATTTTGCATTGTAACTTAAGATTTTTGTAAAAGTTTTGTTTCAACGTCGCAAAGTATATAACACTAGTTTTAAGTTACGTACTGTTGGATAGACAAAAAGATAGTTAGTTAAAAGTTAAATTTACAGCCTATATACGTCCCACTGGTGGGCACAGGCCTCCCCTCATTTTTGAGAGGGTTTTAGGGCAAGGAATTGTCCGCCGCGCTGCCCCAATGCGTGTTAGCGAACTTCACATGTCTTTGAATTTTCTTATTTCTCAGACATGCCGGTTTCCTCACGATGTTTTCCTTCAACGCCGAGCACGTGGTAAATCAGCAGTTAAAATTGCAATTAACAATTTCATTGGTGCCGGCGGGGATTGAACTCGGTTCGCTCGCGTACTGTGAAATTTACAGCGAGCGCTAACCATCTGAGCTACCACGGCTCACGGATAGACAAAGTAGGCAGGAAATATTGTATTTCATAAGATAACACACGTATTAATATATTATATTGGTATACATATCAAGTTATAAGTTGGTATTGAACGGGATTAATTTCTAAACTTAAAACTAAAATATTACAAGGCATTTTAAACGGAGACTTTAAAAGTAAATACTATTAAAATAAAATTTCGCTTAAACAATTACCAAAAGCAAATTGATGTTAGAAACTTGAGAGAAAATGAAAGAAATATGAGGATTAATATAATATAGATTTGATTTTTTTTTTCAAGGGTAAACAATTATGGTTAATTAATTCAGTAAGCTTGGTAACGTATTTAGGGCTCTTGTTACGACATCCATAAAATCATTTCCAGATGACAAACTCACGGAAATGCTAAAGTCAAATCGACATTACCGTCAAGTTTTTATACCTTTACGTAAATAGTAAACCTACTAGAATTCTACTAGAAACCGAATTGCTCACTTACTTTAAAATTTAAAGGCCAGCTACTTCGGCTCTGTTTATAATGGGCGGTAATGCTATATCGCAAAAAGTAAACGATACCGAAATATTTGCATTAAATAACGGTAATTTTGGTAGTAAGTACAACACAACACAACAGCATAAATAATGTGTGTCGTAAGTCGACTATGCGAAATTACAGGAAAGCCCCTTCGATCAGCATATACAATTAATCGATTTATAGTCCAGTCGTCGAACAGGTTGAAACTTTTTCTTACTAGTATCTATTGTAATGGTTCTAATTCTAGTAGGTTTTTTGTAACAGTGTATTCTCTCAAATTTCTTCAACAGTGTGAGTGCGAGCAATTTCCCCTCCGGATTAGTGAACCACCACCAGTCTTTACCAGTACTGTAAACTGCGACGGCGACATACCTCCCAAACTAAGCAGATCGATATGGTAATGATGACGGGTGATGACAAATTTATATGGAAAATAAGAAAAAACCAATTAAAAAGTGGAATATTATACAATAGCTATTTATCATTATTTTTCGTAGATTCGATGTTTCCTTAACTTTATTAAAGACTGATGATGACAATATTGGGTTATCATTACAAATAAGAACTAAAATATAATATATTGTTACCATGTCATATCAACCAATATGATTTGTTGAGCTTTATTCAATTAATTTCGCTAACTTTAATTTACCCAGTTGAAAGTGTTATTACTTATTAGACACACTAAATATAAAGAAGAAAAAATTATAAAAATAAAATACACAATGCAACTTTACTAACACGCGTACGTATATTAAGGCCGAATACGACGCGAATGGCCTTGCCCGTTTCGCAGCGAACCACGCGCCGCCAGTACCTACGCTTTGTTTATATAGACATGTATAATACCTATAATCAAAGCCGTACGGGCTTTGATTATGGGTATGTTCCGAAATACAACGCAGTGTACTGTCCAATGCAAATGACGTATCATTTGACACTTTATTGTACTAGCGTGCCGCCGCCATATTGTGTCGGATATCCGGCCATAATAAAACAATTTTTAATTGTGTGTTTGCCGAATGAAGCATGCCAGAATTTGTTTCTATTTATTCAAATACAAAAAATTATAGAATAATTGATGGTATATCCATTAGGAGGATATAATGATTTTTGGAGCACAAAATGACAAAATAATCGCCAACACTTTTCCAAATGGCGCAAAAATATGACGTCATATACTGTCCAATGTTTTGGAACGAATCACCAGTATAGCGTCGATTCATGACGTCATTTGCATTGGACAGTACACTGCGTTGTATTTCGGAACATACCCTATATTTGACGAACTAGCTCAGATGCAGAGTAATGAACAACACAGAGAGCATTGCTTACTTCTTAAATAAATTTTTCTTATTTATAATATTAGTTCCTATAGATTATAAATTCTGTACTTTATTCGTTATAAAATATTGTTCGAAAAGTTATTGAATTGATAAGGACTTTTTTTCTTTATTGGTGTATCGTACGTAAAGAACCTCATATAACTGAAAATGTTTGTTCTTGTGAGTCTTACAAGATGCCGTAATGCAAATTGCATAAATAATAAAGAAAAAAAAACTAAAAAAGTCGGTGATTGCCCCCATAGTGGGGATAGGTACTGTGTATGTAAATTCTCACAAGACTACTCCGACTGGTCAATCACTTCACATCCGAAGTATTTCGGTTTTTCTTAATTATGTACTTATCCCATGCTTTCGGACAATACATTGACTGACATTATTTGCGGTCTCTGTGCTTGCACTACTCTGTACATTCTTTTCCGACTGGGTCTTGATATTGAATAAAACTAAATTTACGGATTTTATCGCGTTTATTTAACTACTTTTACTTATTTTTAATTCCCGACGTTTCGGGTGCTTTACAGCAACCATGGTCACGGGGGGGACTGAGATGTTTGACGTCCCAATGTCATAGTTAGTCCGGCTACCTTCAGTTTTTGAATATTAATTTTTGGTCCGATTTACGCAAAACGAGCTTATAGTATCATGAAGTCTTGCAGTGGTATGCTTAGGTTTGGGTTTAATTTTGTTAATTATAGGATCCCAAGCAGGTGGCAGCACCCATCCATCTTCTCTACACTTCTTCTTCTTGACTTCTGGACTTCGAGGAGAAAGCCCTTCTTACTGCTCCTGTAAATCCAAGACTCTACAAGCGGTACGTAGACGATACTTTCACAATTTTACCATCTGACAAAGTAACTGCATTTTTTAAACCACCTTAACTCTATAAACTCTAAAATACAATTCACAATGGAGTTAGAGGCAAATAATTCTTTAGCTTTCTTAGATGTTTTAGTCATTCGAAATCCTAATAACACAATTGGTCACACTGTGTATAGAAAAAAGACCCATACCAACCGATATTTAAATGGTGAATCTCACCATCATCCTTCACAGTTAGCTACCGTGGGTAAATCTTTGTTTCAGAGAGCACGAGGGATCTGTGACAGAAAACATCTGGCCGTCGAACTTCAGCATGTCAAGCAAGTATTGCAAGACAACAAGCTTCGGGTCCCGCGCCTACGTCACAGTGACCGAGTGAAGCCAGCCACAGTCGAGCGTGTACCTGCTGTACTACCATATTATGTCAGAGGAGTCACAGACAAGGTTGGCTACATCTTGAAGCGAGCTTCCATTAAAACACACTACAAGTCGCCGAAGAAGATTAGTCAATTTTTACCATCCGTCAAGTGTAATATCCCTCTACAGGATGCAGGAGTGTACAAGTTAGATTGTGAATGTGGTCTCTCCTACATAGGACAAACAAAAAGATCCATAAAAACCCGCGTGAAAGAACATATAGCTGACGTGAAGCACCGACGCTCCGGGAAGTCTGCAGTCTGCGAACATGTTCAAGATCGTCCCCACCATTACATTCGTTTTGATAAACCACAAATTCTCGCAAAAGAACACCGATTCCTACCAAGGATGATACGCGAGGCTATTGAAATTAGAAAACATCCAAATTTCAATAGAGAAGATGGATGGTTGCTGCCAGCTGCTTGGGATCCTATAAATAACAAAATTAAACCCAAACCTAAGCATACCACTGCAAGACTTCATGATACTATAAGCTCGTTTTGCGTAAATCGGACCAAAAGTTAATATTCAAAAACTGAAGGTAGCCGGACTAACTGTGACATTGGGACGTCAAAGATCTCAGTCCCCCCCGTGACCATGGTTGCTGTAAAGCACCCGAAACGTCGGGAATTAAAAATAAATAAAAGTAGGTAAATAAACGCGATAAAATCCGTAAATTTAGTTTTATTCAATGTGTAGTGTTCGCGTAAATTTAAGAAATCATTATGGGTCTTGATATTTTACATTTTTAGTGTTTCTCACTTGAAACTAGAAAAGTATAAATGATCAGTTTGGCTAATGTAAATGAGTAAAAATGCAACCTATTAGGCAGCCTCAAACAAAAAATTACCTTACTAAAATATAAGCATTAACCTCAAAATACAACATTCGAGCAGCGTTCACGCGATAAACTCTCTTTGTTTTACCACTTAGGTAACATTTATTTCTTTTCCTACCCATATTAACATTTATAGACACTTAAACGCGTATAAAAAATTAAATTTTCCTACGAGACATACTGTTGTTACCTTACGTCACACGTCGAAGCGCCTGGTAATTTATTACGGCAAACTTTTATCTGGCAATATACGATATTATTATTAGGTGTTTTTAATTAAAACGAATTATGTTAATAAATAATATTTTGTATCGAAAATAAAGATAGCAGGTACCTTCGGAATCACAATACAAACATTTTTACGTAAAAGAATTTTTCCTAAATTAAAATTCACAGAGTTTTGGAAGAACAATAATTTTATATATCATTTTATAACATTTTTTTATTTGTTCGTATATTCATTTATTTTAAAATTT